GCCCCCTCGATCATGAAACCTCGACTCTCGATGGTCCACTTCGACCAGATCGATCCAATTCGATATCGATCGCGGCAAGCCCGATCCGATGCCTTCGTGGCGCTGTTCTTCATTCCGGGCGCGGTTTCCCAATTACGGAGCCCATGAGAGTCCATAATTACAATCTAGGCTTTGAAAGATTTCTCAAGCGCGACAAGAAGCCAAGGAGAAGGAACAGTTTGGGTTCTGAAGGGGCTCGCTGTTCCGCAGGTCCGTCCATGGCTGTTCCTCTAGCCCTCTTCGTGCACACAGGCGCGTTGGGGGCCAAAGAGTGCCCTCGTTCCCCAGTGTGCGTTCCCTGTTGCAGCAGCACGACAGAGCAGTCCCGGGGCACGGGTGAGGGCCCCCGGAGGGCAAAAACTACGGAGAGCAGGCCCATGCTGGTGTTTTTTCAGCACGTCGGAGGCCTGGGCCGATGCTGATGAGCTCTGCCACCGCTGCTCCAGCCCGGTGCGGCCCTCCCTCCCTCCAGGGCTGCAACGGACGAGGACGAGGAGGAAGGACGAGGAGGCGAAGGAGGAGGGTGGAGGAAGAAGGAGGGAGGAGGAGGGGAGAGGGAGGAGTGAGGGGGGGGGGGGGAGGGAGGCGGGAGGAGGGCTGAGGAGGGAGGTGGGAGGGAGGGAGGAGGAGGAGGGAGGGAGGGAGGGAGGGAGGAGGGAGGAGGAGGGAGCAGGGAACAGGGAGGGCGGAGGGAGGAGGGAGGAGGGAGGGAGGGAGGAGGGATCGGATCGGAACGGCCATCCTCGAAAAATGCCCGTCACGTGAGCAGCTGCCGGGTGGGTGGGGGGCACTGATGAGCACCACAGCCCAAGGCGCCTGCTATGTGGGCTCATTTTCTCCCCAGGATCTGGACCCAGGGAGAAAGAAACGTCGAAGGGGCTACCGAGCCAACACAATCCCAAGCAGACGGGGACCCTGACGCCGCCACGGAGCGAGTGCCTTCAAGCTCTTCTGGTTAACTCCCAGGGCTCGGAGACGAGATCAGGATTGAGAAATATGAAGGTCCCGGCAAGCGCTGACGGCCTGGAACGAGCACTTGAGTCTAGGGCAAACTCAGGTCCCATGCTGGGGGGCATCTGAACAAATCGACGCAGCACTCTGAAAGAAAGCCTGGGGTTCAGCAGTCTCCGCCTCCTCCTCTCTGCTCGAACCAACCCACCCATCCATGTGCAAGGGTGATGGAAGAATTCATTGGTGACAAGGCTGAAACTATATGTATACCATCTGCTCTCAGCGCACAAGCGCAATAGCCAATTCGTTCAAGTGTCTTGTCCAGCAGGGCCGAACCACGAGAAACAAAGAACTCTTGACAGAAGCTGGAACAAATAAACGCAAGAACCCACAGAAGCAAATGTATCACGTGAAAGAGAGGACCCGTCCACACCCTCCCAAACAGCGCTACTCCCATAGGCACCGAATGTCCAGCCTCAAATTGGGGAATGCTGACGGTATGTAACGCATCATTACCAAGTGAAGTAGGCATGCAACGTTGCCATTCGAAGGCAAACATAAGCACGTCATCAGGAGGACAGGGACGCGGGGTGTCCCAGTGGAAGAGTGCGGACATGCTGCCCCTAAATGGATGAGCAGATTTAGGCCCAAAACTGAAATTGTAGAAATATACAGCGTCCAATGACGATTTCAATCAGTGCCAACGTATCAGCGATTGAGAGGAACTATCATGGAGTGCGAAGGGGGAGTCCCACCGGGGAAGAGAGCACGACACCCCGTCCAAAAAGAAGATTGGAAGCCTAGCCGAAAGAGTCGGCAGCTGATCCCTGTCCAGAGGAGTTGTTGAAGACATGTGGAAGCTCGATGGCACGCTGGTCACCCCCCTGGGTCCAAGAAGCTTGTCAGAAGGCGCGGGTTGGATACCCAGCATTCTTGAAAAAGGAACCCTTCGCCTAGTGTTCATAACCTCGCACTTCTCCAGAGGCCGTCGTAAGTGCGATTCTCACACAGAGCGCATCGCAAATCTGAAGGCTTACATTGCAAACAATCTCAACGACCGCTGTGGCTTCTTATGGCAGTCCAAATGTTATGTTGTCAAGCGCTGCAGGTCGGCGGTGCCACAGATGATAAGTCTACCGGCTCTGGCTTGTTTTCGCGCCGGCTTGTCTGACTAAAGAAGCGTCACTTGGATGAAGCGGAAGACGTGCATCGATAGGGAGCGCGGCAGTTTTGTACGCATCAACAAAGGATTGCCCAGACAAGAGGGCGTAGCGAAACGCGTTGAGGTCCCCTGCGATCCATCGGGGGTATCTCCTTTCGACAAGAGTGGAGTAGGAAAACGATCGCCTTCGTCCCTTTCAGTGCTGCGCAGTAGGCACGTGGAGCTGGGCGAGGGATCGTCATCAACCTTGCGACACTGACACTCACCCTGCGCATCACTATGAAGCAGATCTTCCGCGTCGCCTGAGGGCCTGGAGCGCGATCGTGGGACGCCCACGGGGGGCAGGCGAGGGCCGTGCACTTGCGCGAAAGGCCCACGAGCAGGCTGCGAGCCTGGCGCGCCACCGCTCACCTATTCGGGCTCGTGATGTGCAAGATGCTGCAGCGCTGTCCAGACCTCACCGGATGTCCCTGTCCAGCACCGTCTGGGCCATCAGAAGGCTGGGTACCAAATCGTCCAGGTGGCGGAGGCAACGGCATCGTGCCCGGCCACGCATTCTTGCTCGAGCTGGTATGAGGAACAGGCGCTGGCGAAAATTGTGACAAAAGAAGCGCAGGGTCAATTGGCAACAGCGAAAGAAGAATAATTCCGCTATCCGACATCGCAACTGAAGGTGACCCCTTGATGCAGAAGACAAGCACTTGACGGGTGAATGCTTAGGTGTAGCCTGAGTTGCCGTTGCTTGCAGATCACGACGCGTCGGTGAGGGAAGTGAGGGCAACCATACTCCTGAAGGCCAATGTGTTTGCAAATCGATAAACATTGAAATGAGTGCAGTTGGAAATCAACCAGCACAAATGACATAATGACTGTCGCGGTCGGCCTGAATAGGCTGACGCGCTAGGCACCGTACGCGAAGGTAGTGCAGCGAAGGTTACAAAAGGGGGGCGCCCCCCCATCTCGTCCACCACTGGGGCAGGACCCGAGATGAGAATTTGGAAGTGGCGGGCTGCTTACGCACGGAGCCTTAGGGAAGAGGGAGGAGGGAGATGGGGAGGGAGGGAACGAGGTAGGGAGGGAGGGAGGAGTTGAGGGAGGGAGGGAGGAAGAGGAGGAGGAGGTTCAGGAGGAAGAGGAGTTGGAGGAGGAGGAGGACGACGACGACGACGAGGAGGTGTCATGGACGCGGAGCCAACACAGGAGGAAAGAAGGAGGAGGAGGAGGAGGAGGGAGGACGGAGGAGCTTGAGGAGGAAGAGGAGGAGGAGGAGGAGGAGGTGGAGAAGGAGTTGATTTACTCTTGACCTGAAAAGGGTCTGGTGCCAGGGCGGGGGAGTCAGCGCAGGATGAGGGAGGGAGGAGGAGGCGGATGGAGGACGGAGGAGTTGGAGGAGGAGGCGGAAGAGGAGGAGGAGGAGGAGGAGGAGGAGGAGGAGGGGTGGGGGAGGAGGAGGAGGAGGAGGAGGACGACGACGAGGACCAGTGTGAATCCAAGACTTACAAACGATGGTGGAGTACACCCTTCCTCCAAGCTTCTTCTTCACAGGCCCCTTCAAGGGTTCATTTCCACAGAGGGAAGTGCCCCGCTGGGGGAGAACCGTGTGAAAATCCGGAAGCGCGCCAGAACACCATTCTCAGGTTTTCAACGCCACGAGTCAACCAGACTGCTGCGTCTTGACGATCCTGAACCGTGCCAGAAACCATTCCTGGGACGTCAACACGTGTGAACACAGCGAATCAACGCAATTGTTGCGGCATGACAATCCAGAGTCGATCCACAGCACAACTATTGTTTTGTTAACCATGAGATTCACTAGAAATCTGGCAAAGGATTGGCACGAGTGTGCGCGGCGCTCAGGTGAGAGCCACACTTTGAAAAAGGAACTGCCGTCAATCCGTGAAACCCTGGCAACTGTTTGACATGAGTGCGCTCGGCGCTAAGGCGGGATCCACATTGAAAAGACCACCCGCCCTTAATTCGCTAAACTCCTGCAATTCGTTTACATCGAATGTGCGCGGCGCTCAGGCGAGAGCAACGTTTTGAAGACGACCCGCCCTCAATCCGTGAAGCTCTTGCAATTCGTTGAGACGAATTCGCGCGGCGCTGGGGCGGGAACCGCATTGTGGAAGCGTCCCGCCCTCCATATGTGACGCCGTTGTCGGCTTTTCAGCTTCAGGTTCATGAGTGGCGAGGAAGTCTCAGGCGAAGCGCACGGCCCGCCCTTCCAACTAGCCTGTGGTTGCGACAGGGAGGGGTTATCAATCACAACCCCAACCAAAGGGTGGTTTCGCTGATGAGATCGACCGGGGACCCAGGAGCCCGGGAACCCAGAACCCACCGAAATCGGCCCGGAACCAATAACCGGGAACCCGGCAACCCCGAACCAGGAACCCGGGAACCCACCTTGCCACCAAAAGCGGCGGGAAATTGTCGCCAAATCTTTCAACCTCCGCTAGGACCCCTTCAGTGCAGGCACTGATTGGGGGGAATGGAGGAGGGGGGGGAGGACCGAGACCCCCAGCATCCTAAATCTGTCACGACGCGGACCACCAGCGGCCTGGACCCATTCCCTGGGGCCGGGTCTGCCTCCCGAGTCGTTCTTGTTGGCAGTCCCGAGGGCTGGTCAGGGCCCCCATGAGGCCGAACATGGCGAACATTTCCCCGTCGCGATTTCGTCATGACTCGATGGTGGTCTGGGAAGGAGGGGGGGAGGAGGAGGAGGAGGAGGAGGAGGAGGAGGAGGAGGAGGAGGAGGAGGAGGAGGAGGAGGAGGAGGAGGAGGAGGAGGGGGAGGGGCAGGAGGAGGAGGACGGACGAGGAGAGGGACGGAGCACGCGCGTGCGCACAGGAGCGGTCGGAGCCCCTCCGCGCTCCGTCGGGGCTGCCGGTCATGAGGACGCCCGGCCCGCCGCGCCCAGGCCGCCGCCGCTGCCTCAGGCTTTCGGGGGCACCGCCAGGCGGCTCGAAGACCGGCAGGGTCTTGCGATTGCCCATGGGTCGTTGAAAAGAAGGTGTTTGTGGGTTCCCAGTCTCCCATCTGCTTTTGGCGCCTTCATTGCTTCAATGATCGAGTGGCTTCGCCTTTTCCGTCCTCTTCATGGGGGCGCGCATTTTCGAGTTTCACGTTTCTACCTACTTCTTCCGAGTCCGTAGCTATTTGGGCTCAAGCCATTTTGGCTCAAGAAGCCGTTCTGGCTCAGGCACTGCCTGCGCTTCAGATCGGCACAGTGCTGTTGCGGGCCGTTTTGGCTTCATCTTTCCGCAGTTTGAGGGATCTCAACCCTCTGTTTCGCGCTCCATCGGAGCAGTTGCCACCACGGCACGTCTGTAATGGCTGGCAAAGGCGCTGGTGGCAAGTCCAAGGTTTCGTGGCGCCCATGGCACGCGAACTGGGGCTCGTATGGCGGCAAAGGAGGCGGTCCCGTTCCACCGTGGCGTGAGGCAGAGGAGTGGCCAGTCCTGCGGCCTGGCCCTCAAGCTCCTCGCGGCGACGGTGCTGGGCCTGATCCTGGCGGCAAGTGGTCGTGTGGCTCTTGTGGGTGCCGCAAGAACAAGCCGTCGCATTTCTTCTGCAAGCACTGTGGAGCTCTTCGGAACGACCCATCAGGCTCCGCGTGGAATGGGGGCTCGGCCGTGCTCTTCAAGGGTGGCGCCAAGTCTCCAGGTCTGCAAGGCGGCGCTGCTCAGCAGGACCCCAAGCTCGCGGAGCTGTCGATGGAGGAGCTCGAGTCGTTCGTCAGGATGTCCGAGAAGATGGGCTGGACCGAGGCTGCGGGCAAGGCTCGGGCCCAGCTCGCTGCTCGCCGCCTTCCTTCTGCTCCCAAGCCTGGTCCTGAGGAGCACCTGGCACGCTTCCAGCGCGAGCGGGTCAAGCACGGGAATCGGATGGAGAAGGAGCTCAAGAGAATCGCCACGCTCGAGATGCAGTTGGCGGCCCAACGGGATCTGGTGCGTTCTATGACGTGTGAGCTGGACCAATTGCAGAAGAGTCAAGAGCTACGAGGAGACGGCCAAGCTCGTCGCGTCATCCGCCAAGCCAGACACCGTCGAGCACACTGTCCCCACTATCCACTTGGAGGACTTGTTGGCTGGACGGATTGAGGGTTTCAACATTGAGCTTGGTTCAGTTTTCAATGTGGGCGACGATGACATCAGTGCTGCGGAAATGGACGAGATCAAGAAGCGACGCGACACGCTGGTCTCGCAGTTCCACACCATGGCGAAGGAGTTGTTCCCCCAGGCGGCCAACAACGCCCAGGAGGCCAAGGAGGCGCATGCTGCCCAGACCGCTCGGCTGGAGCAGAAGCGCCGCCGCGCCGCTGCTGGTGAAGCTGCTGGTGGGCCTCTCGGCGGCCAAGGTGACGCTCCAGCAGCGGGTGCCGCAGCGGTGGGTCCTTCTGCCGCTGCCGCCGAGGCTGCTCAGCAACCTGCGTCGCCTGGCACACCGCCTGTGCCAGGGGGCTCCGAGGCCATGCTCGCACGGGTCCGCGCAGAGGCCGCCAGAGTCAAGGCTGCACAGGCCCCCCCCCCCAAAAAAAAACACACACACACACACACACACACACGCACACACACACACACACACACGCACACACACACACGCACACACACACAGAGAGAGAGAGAGAGAGAGAGAGAGAGAGAGAGAGAGAGAGAGAGAGACACAGCTACTCCGTGAGGTCGCGTCGCGTCATGTGGAACCCAGCTGCGGGGGGGATCGCCAGCTAACTTTTTCAAGCTTTAACTTTCCAAGGAGCTCTTTAGGCTCAGCGAGGTCCTGGTCGGGGGCCCACCTTTCGTTCCTACATTGCGCTGGACTTGTCGAAAATTGCGCCAGGACACCGCAGGGCGCTGCGAGAGCCGTGGAGGAGGAGTCCTCTTCGGCGAAGGTTCAATCCAGGCCTTGTGTGCAGTCCCTGTTGCCTGGGGCAGGGCACCTCTCGGCTTTCGGTCATCCTCCTAGCCATCCCTCCGCTCCTTGCGGGGCAGCAGGTCCGACGGCCAACGGTCTGATTCCGAGAGCCACGCTGCTGCCATGGGAAGTCCAGCCTCAGCAGGCTAAGGGGGAGATCGACAAGCTTTTGAGCGAGGGCGCTTGCCTTTTAATGAGTGGATCGGACACATCCAGGCTGCATTTGCAGCCCCCGTTGCCTGGAACGGGGCTACCCTAATCCAGGCAGCACGTCCAGTCCCCTCGGCTTGGCGAGGGGCAATTCTTCTGCAATTCAGGAGCTGCCGCTCCGAGCCACCCTGAGATCCCCGAGGCTCCCCCCTGGGGGATTTTTCTTTAGTGGTTGAAACGATCAACGGCAATGCGCGGTCGTCAGCGAAGGAATGGTTGCCTCAGTGCTCGGCCCACGTCCTCTTGATCCAGGGGCGCAAACTCCTGGCGGGAGATCAAGTCTCCCGAGCTTCGCAGTGGTGTTTCTCGCAAGGTTGGAAGTCGGTCTGAGCCCCTGGCACCCTTGGAGAGGGGGGGGGGGGGGGGCGTCGGCTGGGGTGGCCATCCTTGTTCGAGCCTGGATGGGTCTGATCGAACCCTTTTTGCAACGGTTCTATTGTTTGGCCTCATAGGGCCGTCGCGGCTGTTGTACAGCCTCCCAGGTGTCAGTCCATCTTTGTCTCCTCCCTCTACTTGAGAGATTCTGTGGGAATGGGCGACCGCAGTCTCGAGGTCCTGGGAGCTCTCGGGGCAGAGCTGTCGGTGCTGGGCCTTCCCTTCATCGTGGGAGGCGACTTCAATAACGAGCCTGATATGTTGCATAGCACCGAGTTCGTCAGTAACTTGAAGGCCCAGCTTGCGTCGACTTCGGGGCCTGCGTGCTTCGGGGCGGGGGAGCCTAAATGTTATGATGATGTTGTGGTCTCTGGAGGTCTGGCTAAAGCGGTTCAGGCGGCCTCGGTGAATGACTCGGGGGCTTGTTTTGTTCCGTATGTCCCTGTCCGCGTTCAGTTTTTTGGCTTTAGCCAACCTGCATGTGCTGTCTTTCAGGAAACCCCCTCCGATTGCTGTGGACCCCCCTTTCGGTCCTTCGCCCCAACCTCTGGGCTACAGCAAGGTTTTTCGCTGATGGACAAGGCTCGAGTTCGGGCCTTGATGGGGGGATTCCGATGTTTTGATTCTATGTTGGCTACGCGCTGCAAGGTTTGGGCCATCGCTGCGGAGCGTGAGCTCTGCAGAGCGATGGGTTGTAGCATATCTTACTTTGGGGCTCGGGGAAAGGGGGTGGCCCTTTGGTGGCGCCCCGTTCTGGGACGGGGCCCGGGGCCCCCCCGTTGCCCCGAGCTCCACGGTATGAGATGGTTAAACTCCTCTTTCCACCGCCTGGCGAGGTACATTAGGTCGGCCCACACGGGCAAGGAGGCTCGTGCTCTGGCCGAGGCTTTGCGCAGTCCTCCCCCCCTGGTCAGAGACAATCGTGGTGACCAAGAGGTATTGTTCGACAGTGTGGCTGGCGTCGCTCGGGCTTGGCTGGACGGGACTTCCGCAGAAGATCTGGGTCGAGAAATGGACGTCGTCGGTGCTGAGATCCAGGAGGCCCTCGAGGCGACCAACGCGAAGTTCATCTCTCGGGCTAGGAAGGACTGGGCCGTCTGGCTCTCCGAGGGCACCAATCAGGGTGTCAGAAGAGCCCACCGGGTCCCCAAGGGCCCCGCGGCTTGGAGGCCGGCGAGTACGCTGAGTATATTCGGTTCCTTGGTTGCGGATCCCACGGAGCCCCTGCGCGCTGAAAGGACCAAGTTTGGGAAACTGTGGCACGCCAGCTCCCAGGCTCCCAAGATTAGTCTTCGCTCCCAGGATCCGCGTCCTGCCATCCCTGTCGAGACGACCAGAGAGATCTCGGAGTTTCTCGCGTAGGTCTGCTGTCGGTCTGGACGGCTTCCACATGAGGCACTACTAGTTCCTGGGCGATGATGCCCTTCGTCGTTTTTTTTTTCGGGATCTCTGGACCTTGGTGGAGCTGTCCGGGGGGGGGTGCTTCCATGTCAACTTCGGGCCCTCATCGTGACCCTGATCCCGAAGGCGGTCCCTGGGTTCCGCCCCGTTGGGGTTTTCTCTAGCCCCTACCGTCTGCGGGGGAGGGCTCGCCGCCCGATCGCGGTGTCCTGGGAGGCCCAGAACGATCGGCCCCACTGGGCTGCTGGGAAGCACCGCTCGGCGACAGACGTGGTCTGGAGGCAGCCCGTGCGAGCTGAGACCAGCACGGCAATAGGCCGTCACGCAGGCGCAGTTTTTTGGGATATGCTGAAGTACTACGAGCAGATTCCCTTAACGCTGCTCGAGCAGCGGAGCCTCAGGCTTAATTTCGATCCTGTTGTGTTGTCGGTGTGCTTGTCGGCGTGCCGATCGGCTAGATATATGGTCTTGTGCGGGGTGGTTTCCCCTTCCCAATGCGCTTCCTTTGGCGCGGTCGCGGGTTGCTCGATGGCGACTACTCTGATCAAAGCTCACGGGATGGAGGCTTTTGATTCCGTTCCGATCGCCCCCAACACTATGCTGGACATTTACATCGATGACACGGTTTTGAATTCGGTTGGTTCGGCCGACTCTGTGGTCGAGAGTTTAAAGGAGTCATCAGCTGCCCTTGAGGTGGCGATCACTCGCATGATGAGGGCCCAAATCTCCATGGACAAAGTGGCTTGCGTCGCCTCTTCCAGGGTTATTTCCCATCGGCTGGAAGAGGCTTTCGGGCCCCTGGTGCCCCCCCCCCCCTCGAAACCACGGTGAACCTGGGGATTGACTTCACGGCAGGGGCCTCGAGGCGTGTTCGTGGCCGCAGTACTAAGGCGAAGGCCCGCTGGTCGAACGCAGCCAGGCGTACCAGGAGGCTCCTGAAGCTTAGGGGCGCACTTGGACGTAGGACAGCTAAGGCGTTCGTTTCGGGCCCCCTGGC